CGGCTGAATCAGGCCGCCTGGGGCAGAGCAGCTGGGGTGCTGCCGGGTTGGTCCGGAGCAGCGCTGCGGGACCAACCCGGCAGCCCCCAGCTGCTCTACCCCAGGGGTAGGCAAGAAAAGCCTGGTCTGCTGGGGGGGGCACTAGTTGCACCCCCCCCAGCAGACCAGGGAGACGGGGGTGGGGACGCCCAAGTCCTCCACGGCTTTGCTCCGTCTCCCTGGTCTGCTGACCTAGGAGACACGGAGCAAAGCCGTTGAGCACGTGGGCAGCGGGACAGTCCAGGCGCGCCGCGCTGTCCCACTGCTGGCGTGCTCCGAGGCTTTGCCCCCCATCTCCCTGGTCTGCAGGGAGACGGGGAGCAAAGCCTTGGAGCACGCCTGCAGCGGGACAGTCCAGGCGCGCCGCGCTGTCCCACTGCTGGCGTGCTCCGAGGCTTTGCCCCCCATCTCCCTGGTCTGCAGGGAGACGGGGAGCAAAGCCTTGGAGCACGCCTGCAGCGGGACAGTCCAGGCGCGCCTGGGCTGTCCCGCCGCCGGCTTCCTTTTTTTCCCCTCAACATGAAGGATATCCGTTTTGAGATTTTTTTTCTCTTCCTCCCCCCACACCTCGCATTTTTCAAAAACTATTTTTGTGAATTTCCAATCTCGAACGCAAAAAGTTAAAATAATTCCAAGGAATGTCTGGAAAAAGGAAAGTCAGAAAATAATGAAAAGCTAGGGAACACAATGGACATAATGCTTGTTCAAAATTGCCAACATTTCCAATTTTAAACCAGCCTTCTCTCTCTCTCTGAACACATCTACACAAGCATTACTGGAATCACATGTGGTTCAGAGCCTTATTGCCGGCATGTTTACAGTACTCAGTATTGTTTACTCTACTGGAAAGGACACAGTGGACCGAAATGTACAATATCTAGATTTTTACCTCATACATTCATACCTTCTCTGTGTCGATCCCTTTAGACATGGACCATGTTGAGACAATATAATCCATGACTCGTTCACTAAGGCCTTTTGGGACTTGATATAATTTTAAGAAATCCCTCACATTGTTCAGCATCTCATGGTACCGGTTGGTGTTGGCATACATTTGCTGGAAAATGGTGGTGACATTTCCAAAAATAGTTGCATAAAGAAGAGCTGAAAGACATAAAATAGCAAACAAAGATAAATTTCTATATGTCACAAAAGTACGATTAATCATCTATATACGTGTTTTGCAAGAAAGAGAAAAGCAACTGCAAATGTTTGCATATGCATTTGTACCTGTTGAAAAGTTCTTGCCCATATTACCCCGGCCCCTCCTCACATTGTCTTTTTCTTCTCTTCCCTCCTCCTCTCTGCTCACCTCTTCCAGCTCAATCCCTGAACCCAAATGTAGAAAATGACATTTGAAGAAAAACAGGTAGTGTGGACGCTCCAGTGCTGCTATTTCAAAAAACTACTCCCCAGATTTATTCAAACTAATTACTCCCCAGTGCTTCCTGAGTTAACAGAGCCTGCCTTGGACTAATTTTGAGGCTTCCCCATTTTGCGGGCACGCTAGTTCAAACTTGTTAAATTGTGAATTGAGACTAATTTTGTAATTTTGAAATACTTTCCTAGCATAGACCTGGCCTAAATAGGATGGCTTGGAAGCATCCCAATATATCCAATATCTTTCTACTAGCCCGGAGCAGCCTAAAGCCACTTTCCAGCTACATTTTCCAGCCTCAACTTAATGCAGTGCTAGCACAATTCAGGGAAACCACACTGTCTCCAATTTTGAAGGGAAAATCATTAATGATAATAATGGGACTAAAGCAGATGCTTCAATGCTTTTTTGAATAGGGATGGACTTAGGCATGCTCTTAAATGTGTTTAGCTTGCTTATTGATTCAGGACCTAATTATTCTTGAGAAGGAACCATAAATAAATAAATAGCACTCTTCTCTTAAACACTGTAGACTTTACAGAAAATTATTTTGATTTCTCCAAATACCAGTGTGTTGCATTTTCATTCTGTCCTTGGCATCAACTAATATGCGGGGGGGGGGGGGGGGGGCGGGGGTGGGTGGGGGGATGTGTGTGTCATTTTTAATAATCCTGGCTTGAAGTGCTTTACTGCAGAATGCAGCTGTGTTTACATATTCTTTCCGTCTACCAATGCATAACAGTACACAAAAGATTTTTCACCTCACTCTAGAAAATTGACTTCACTTTATGGACATTTAGTTCAGTTTATGCGGGGACAGCAATGTTTTAAAAGCACGGTGTCGGTTTAAAAATACTTGAACAGTAGAAATGTTTCATTGACACTTCTCAACAAGTGCTTGAATATTGAAATTAAAATTAAAATTATTGTAAACATTAAACAGCAGAATTAGGCAGAGATACAATGTACTCTGTCTCATCAGAATCTAGCGGAACAGTATTCTGACTGGTTGGACAGACATATGAGCTCTATGATCAAGTAAGGCCAGAGAAGCAATAGCACTTATGAATAAGAGGTTTCAGTTTTAGAAAGCCGGGGATATTCATGTTCTCACTGTATGACCATGCAGAAATCAAATAATGGGTATGCAGCTTGATCTTCATTGCTTTATTGATGATACATATTGCACGGGCTGGCTAATAAAATGTTTGCGTAATATATTGCATATAGACATACATAAGCATAGTACATACATATACACAGCGTAAGAATATGTGGGTTACACATGTTTGCACTCTACATGGATGAATGTCAGCTGTACACATTTTTTGCTTTTGCTATTCTTCCCAGATTTTGTAACACATTAAATTGGAAGACATGCCACTTCTTGTAAATGCTACTCTCCTATTCCACTCACATATTTGTTGAAAGGCTGCAATTAATTTGATGGGTGGATCTACAATAGAAATATATTTTCGCTCTTGGCCTGCCTTGTTTTATGCCCATTTCTATGTACTGAAATGGATTGTGACTATAAACCTATCCACAACCCACTCTTGCACATGCAAAACAAGAGAGAAGTATAAAGAGGTTGGCTGAAAATGTGGTATTGTCCTGTCACTTGGAAAGAACAGATTCAATTCCTGACCCTCAAATCACACCAGCCAGACTAGAAGTAGCTAAGAGAGCCACAGTGGAAACGCAGTCTGACAGAGTGCCAGTGATGGTGCCACACTGGGCCACAAGGGGTTAAAAGGCAATACCGGGACAGGCAGCTCTGCACCTCTGGGCTTGCTGAGCATGCTCCGACTGGCAGAGCTGTTTAAGAGGGAACACAGAAGCCAAAGTAAAAGGTGGAAGACGGGCTGCAGGAGAGAGGAACCTTTCTCCCAGAAGCCACAGAGAACGTTGAAGTCCGAGGGAACTATAGAGTGGGAAACAACCATAGACAATGCCGTTCCTGACCACCACCCCTTTTGAGAACCAGCAGGTTCTGTAGAGTCCTGTTCCTTTGGACTCCTTTTTCTGTTGAGCATCTGACAAGCTGGACTACAGAGGCCACGTCCCAAACAGAAAGGACCTATTGGTAGGATGGGGAAGTAAACCTGGACTTGCAGCAGAGAAGACCAGTGTTACTTCCTAAAGGTCCTGGAGCAGGGACCCAGAGAAGAGGGAGAATCTGGGTCCCCCTGCCACATCTCCTAAAGGCCAAGGACCAACCAGATGCAGGTAGAAAGCCAAAGATTCTAGCCCCCCTACTGACCTGACCGAGCTGGAAGGGACCGACAGCCGGGTGTGCTAACTGCTAAGCTGTCAGCTCTTCTAGCTCCTATCACAGTGCTACTTAATTCCTCCCACAAAAAAACACATCTTTTGACTGAGAACATCCATGAAAAATATTCATCTAAATGATAATTTTATCCAAAAGCAACAAGTGTCTGAAAACAGGAGCTTAGAATGAAAATACTTCTGAACATAAGTACTGATATAACAAACCAGCAGCTCATTTCTTGCAAACTGAAATTAAAGAAAATGTTGCGTGCAAACCTACAC